GCATGTTATCAAAAGTTTGGTCCCGGCGAGTTGTCTGATTGTATATTTGTTAACAAATTAATTGTTCCGGTGTTAACACAGTTATAATGAGGTGTATAGAGATGACCGATACAAATGTACAATGCTTCTTGGTTCATATTGGGATCATCAACGTCCATTACGATGACAGGTCCATCGGTCTCGATTAATTTCTTCAAATATTGAGAACGAGATAAAATAATTGCATGAACTTTGATTGAATTATCTTGGACGTAAGGTACTTGAAGTTCAATGTCACAAAACTTTGAGTGCAAATAACATTGATACAAGTGAAAACAGATATTTTCACTGATGGTGAATGGTACCTCTGCTGCATCAATTTGAATCGAGTTTAAAGTAGGAGTGATAACGAAACTTGGATCATGATCTTTTTGAGGTATAATTAATTCAGAATTAACTTCAATGGCATCGTCGCAACCCATAGTGTTAACACTTTGTGATGTAGTTTGTTCATTTTCATTCGTACTCATATTTTCAATCGCGAATTCGTCTATGTCGAAATTTTCAGAAATGGGATCTTTTGAAACCTTTGATATTTTATTTACAGAAATAGATCGTTGTTCACAATTATTAGTTATTTTATATAAAAGGTGATGGATGTATGGTAGAAAAAAAATTTTTCTTTGAGAGAAGACTCGAATATTAATTATTAATCAAATTTATCAAATTATATAAATCGCATTTGACATAAATATTACATCATCTGATAGCAGTAAAGTTCTTGTTAGTCACTTTATTATGATGTGTAAGCGATCTATAAGCGATCTCTTGATTTCTTGGTATATTGGAAAATACCTTATATCGCCAACTATTTGTAATTCCCCTAAACGCAAAACAAACGATAGGGTCAAATTTAGTATAGCTTATACATATACATATCTAAATGTCACATGCGTGATATATCACGTGAACCCAATCAGTGTTTATGACGAAGCCTCTTTCATTTTTGGCATATCCACGTCTGCGTACGTCCAAAAAAATCCAAGCGTTATTTCCTTTTATAATTGATAAAATAACATTAACGTTAACTTTAACGTTAGGTGCTAAACATTTTTGCTTAACAAGTCAAATCAAGTAATAAAATTTTGAGTACGTACGTACGTACGTATAATATATCCATTGATTGACAACATTATGGGTTCGTATTAAAAATTAAGTAATACGTACGTACTATAAAAATTCCATTTAAAATCTCCATATATATCGAAATTATACAATTGGCTCTTATTAATACAATATATATATATATATATATATATATATATATATATATATCGCTATTTTCAATTGATCAACTTGCAGTGTCGTGAATTTAACTAGGTGACATTTAGGTGTGGGCTATTACAAAAATAGTAAAATTGCTGATTTTTTGTTGAGAATATTTTAACGGTTTCAGGGAATTTTGGGCATTCCTAACATCCAAAAATGTTGGGATATTCTTTATTAAGTTCACATGTTGACTCGCCATCTTCTGGGTATTTAGATCACTTTTAATCACTTGTTTATTTTCTATTTGTCAATTTATTTTATTTGATGTAAACTAAAGAATTTATACTGTAGTGCAGTGTTGGCATTGGACATATGTCCAATAATTTAAAAATATATTGGACATATAAAATTTTATATGTCCAATCGTTTT